ATTTTCGAGCCATTTGTGGCTTCATCCGTTTCCTCAATCAGTACCAAAGTCACACACAAAATAATCTCAGTTCAATACCCGTTCAATAGGCTCAAAGTCATACAAGTACAAAATCAAGCTAGGAACATGTGCGAAAATGAAGTTTGAGTCAAGAAACAAAAGACAGATTTGATGTTGTTTTGCGTAAAGGATACAACCGAGGCTACGCTTATCGAATTGGGATGCAATTTATACCATTTCGAAGATAAGATAAAGGGCTACAACTTTGATGAAGACCACTCAGTTCAGTTCGTAGTGTAGCTAGGTCAAAATTTCAATGTACAAAACCAGAATCTCACAAACAAGTTAGCTAACCGCACTATGGTTAAATGACAATAACTCAGGCTACCGAAGTCCGATTGAGGAGTTTTTAGGGGCGTTGGAAAGCTAAGACATAGCACTACAACTTCTATGTTTTGGCCAAATGCTAAGTCAGTACGAATCAGGGTGAACAGACTCAGTCAGATTGGTGAAATGTTAAAACTATCCCTCAAGTTCTACCTATGGTAGTCAGGGGTATTTTTATTTTTTCACATGCTACAGTACTCGGATTGAGTTGAAATTTTACAGGAAGTTATAAAACATCATTCCATACAACTTTTATGTTTTTTCCTAAGCCTAATTTGGCCTCCATCATGGTCAACCAGAACCGGGCAGAATAGGGTATACCTTAACTTCAATTCTGGAAATTTGATACAATCAAGGTATAAATCTCATTTTTAGCTTGAAACCATCACAACCACCTCTTATGCCAACTTATATACATCATATACCACCCATACAACAAGTATGATAAGTGAATCATTCAAACCCTAACTCAAATTCATCACCCCAACCATCCAAAATCACTTGATATAAGCATTACAACCACAAATACAAGCTACTAAGCAACTCCAACATGATTAAGGAAAAAAGATAAGAGTGGTCAGCCATATTACCTCAAAAACAAAGCTTGCTAGAGTTATCCTCCACTTCTCCTTGAAATTTTGGGTTCCTTAAGCTTCCCAAGCTCTCAACCTACAAGTAAATCGGTTTAGTTTTTCTTGATTTCACTCACAACTCTTGATTTGAGGTTGGAAATAGAAACTCTCTTCACTCTTTCTCCCTCTCCTTGCTCTCGGCCAAACAAGAAAAAAAATGGTGAGGAAATGAGCTAAAATGAAGATAAGAAGGTAAGAAAGTTGGCTTGGTCAAAGGGCCTTAAATGGCCAACACTTGTCACACTTAGGTTATCACAATTTTTTTTCTTTTCTCTCTCTCTTGGGGTCAAGAATTTCGGCTGCCTTGAAGGGTATTTTGGGATGATTTTTGTTGAAATAAAAGTAAGGAGATTGAGGTAATAGAGTAGTGTTCAAGTGGTGTGTTCAATCGGTAGCGTGCGACACCCGTCGGTCCGAACCGTTTTTCCTTAAATCGCGTATACTAGGGTTTTAACTTATAATTCAATAACTTATTATTATCACCTCTATTCACAAACTTAATATCATCTAAACTAATCCTTAATCACCGAATTTAGTGCACACATCTCACCAAGTGATTGTGAGGACCCGCAAATTTCTTATATTTTTCTCAAAAATGCCTTTTATTTGGAAATTACTATTTATTAAAGCCCTACAACCCAATCATTACACAATAAGTGTAAATAAACCTAGAAAGTAGGGTTTCACTCTTCGATTTCAAGATTGGAGCAAATTAGGGTTTTTGCGATTTTTCGCCGGATGAATTTTTGGTACGGAGCAAAGATCGAATTTGGTGATTAAAAGTGACTTTTAAGTGAGAAATAATATGTGATTAGGAGCAATGAGATAAGGTTGGTGAATAGGAAGTAAAAACCCTAGTACGTGTGTTTTTAAGAAAAACGGCGCGAACCAGCGGGTCCCGCGTACTACCGATTGAACGCACCACTTTCTTACCATACAAGCTTATTGATATTTGAGCAAAATATCTTCTCAATTTCCAGCTATCTTGACCGAAATTAGAGGCTAGAAATAGCAAGGAAAGAAAGAGAAAAAAATGAAAGGCGGTGGTGGCGACACTTGTCGCCACCCTAGAGTTTCTTGGCCAAGAGAGTTACCATCCTTCTTAACCAATTTTTGCACCTTTCCTCTTCATTATTTCAGCTCCTTGGCCGACCAAAGAGAGAGAGAAAGTGAGAGCAAGAAAACAATTTCCTTCTTCTTGATCTTAGCTATCCAAGTGGGAAAATCAACTTCCAAGCCGATTAAAGTACTAGTTGTGGTCTTAAGAAGCTAGAGCAAACAAAAATTTCCAAAGGAGGTGGAGTATCACTCTTCCAAGCTTTGTTTTGAGGTATAAAATCTGATCATGGTTGTTGTCCATTTAAATTTTGGTTTAAGATGATAGTTAGCTCCTGTTTTGGCTTGATTACAAGATATGCAAGTTGTTGTGATGATTTTTGGATGATATATGCAAGTTAGGGTTTAATAAATTTCTGCCTAAACTTGTTGTATAGCTAGTATATGTTGTATATAAGGTTATATAAGGGGCTTTGGTAGTGTTGGAAGTAAGAAATCAAGGAAGGTTGGATTGAAAACTGAAAATTCCAGATTTCTGGAAAATTTCCCCCCTTTCTGCCCGGTTTTGTTGCGGCATGTTAGAGGCCGAATTGGCCTTAGGTTAAAAAATGAAAGTTGTAGATAATGGTATTTTATAGGTTCCTACAAAATTTAATCTCAATCTGAGCAACGTAGGCCATAAAAAGACCAAAATACCCTCACTGTTTTAAGGTTTTTCCCAGTAGTCCGTTTGGTCAGTTTATCCAGTTTATCACGTTTATTTACTAGGATCCGTACTGACTTAGCTTTTTGCCAAAACATGAAAGTTTTAGTATTCTGACTTATCTTTTAAATGCCTCCAAGAACACCTTAATCGGACCTTGGTAACCTGAGATATGACCATTCCAGTACAGTGCGGTTAGATAGCCGACTAGTTAGATTTTGGTTCTGTAAATTGAGGATTTGACTAGGTTGCATTAGAAACTGGACTAAGTAATCTTCATGAACATTGTAGCCCTGTGTCTTAGCTTCGAAAAGGTATAAGTTACGCCTCAATCCGATAAGCGTAGCCTCGGATGTGTTATTTACGCAACCACACGTCGAATCTGTCTTTTGCTAGATTGTATTTCAGCACTTGTTGTTACTTTGATTCTTATTCCTATGATATTATGAGCCTAGGGAACGGCTTTTGACTTGAATTTCTGATATGTGTGACTTTGGGATTGGTTGAGGAAAAATAATGAAGCCTAAATGGCTGGAAAATTAGGTAAACACAAAGGGCATGCTGCCCAAATTTACGCTCGAGGACTATAAAAATACACTTGCGACTTGGGTCGAGTTGATATGAATAGTACTTGAACCATCTAGGGTACTTGAGTCTTCTTGTTTCGAGGTATATAAGTAAGGACTTGGCCGAACTTGTACCCTTGAGAAATGCAATCATGATTGCTCGAAGTATGTTTTCCTTGTACTTTCAACTCGCATGACAATTTCAAGTATAAATATTACAAAGTTTTACTGTTTAAAAAGGCGAGCAAGTGTTTCACGACTAGTCTCCAAGTGAATTCCAATTTCTTGATTTTTATTGAATGAAACGTCTAAGTTTCGAATCTTAGTCATATTTCAAAGTTCTCAAACTGAGTTTTATCGCAGATTTGGACTCCGAACCCGGAGTATAACCTGAAAGTGACCAGTAAAGGCACTATATCTTGTGGTGAGTGCTTTCAAATACCGAATTGCACTAGATACTTGAACTTGATACGTGACCAATATGAGTACATGTTATATACGTGAATTGATAGGGCAAGAGTGTACTTCATCGCACTTGCCCTTACGTGATATACTTGTTTATTGATTGCAATTGACTTGATATACTTGTTTATGATGTGCGCACTTCCTGGAATTCCAGAAACCCTGTGGCGAGTTACTCTAGTCGAGCCGGCAAGGGCTTGGTCGATTGGGTAACGAACCCTGGGTCTCTCGTTTTGTCGAGTGGAGTGATATCTCCTCGACTAATCGGTATACTCGAGTATTACCACCCGTGTTTCTTGAGGATTTTGGGCCCAGCTGGGGTTTTGAACGGTGGATGGAGAGTCGTTTAAGTGGTGTTCTACTGGATTGGTTACTTACTTGAAAGTTGACGGAGTGTCAACTGTTACTTGATCAAGCTCTGGAGGTGCAAATGGGAATTTGGCTCCTGAGAGCCTTCCGTATCCTTATACTTGAAATTGATTATTGCTTATCGGATTGTTGTACCTTTTGAAAACCAAAAGCACTTTATACTTGCTCGTTTGGAAATTTGCTACTTGAAGTGTTAGTGTTCATCTTCATGAACTTGTTAAGCTCGCTATCTTTTGCTACGTTGATACGTGTACTTTTAATATGGTCAATTTGTGATTTGGAACCTCACTGGGCTTTTAGCTCATACCACGCTATTTGTTTTCCTTACAGGGGGTACGAGCGAGGCGTGAGAGGTGTAAAGACTAGCGTAGTCTAGTTGTTTTTGACTTTTGACTTTTGACTTGTACTCGCGCTATTCCTCGAATAGAATGTTTTGTATTTGGATTGTATACGCCCTGAACCAGTTTGAGTATATTGAGGCTTTGTACCTTTTTTTTTTTTTTTTGAAATTTTAATTTTCTTTTCTGCATTCAAATTAGTGAAAATAACTGTCTTTTTTTTTTTTTTTTAAAACTCCAAGAATAATGCCCATTGTTTTCTAAATAAAATATCTAAGAAAAATGGTAATTTCCTAATCTTCCGCCAATAATCCACATAGACTCCATCTTGAATTGGAAAACTCTTGAAAAATCACCTCTTTTATCACTTTTTGAGCCACCTTCCCGAAAACCTGAAGACTACAACCTAGCCATCCTCCGCTAACCACCTTACCCCTGGCACTCCCCGTGAATCCAGTAAAATGGCAGACCGAACAACCGCCGGCAACTAGCGTCCCTGCTCATAAACCTGAGAGCCACTTAACCCAACCGCTGCAAGCCTATCTGCGGGTACGTTGGCCTCCCGATATACATGTGAAATGGCAGCCGAAAAAACCTCCAGCAGACCTCTCACCTTCCTTAAACTGTTACAAAGAGGCCACTTCGCAATCGCCCCAGAGACAACCAACTGCACCAAGGCCTTGGAATCAACCTCAACCAATGAAGGATACACTCCCCGTTGTAGACACAACTGCAACCCACAGAGTAATGCCATACACTCTGCCTCTAACACCCCCTGATCCCCGAACTCCTTATAGAAGGTAAAAACCAACTTCCCCTGATAGTCACGTAGCAACCCACCCCCCGTGGCCCTCCCTTGAAGCACACTGGCGTCCGAATTAAACTTAAACTCCCCAAAGGGCGGCCTTTCCCAGGCAATCGCACATGGGGAACGTCGCCTCGGAGACCCTCTGACCCACCGAAGCAACTCACAATCGGCATCACCTGAGAACTGGGACCGACAAAGCTTATTTGCCCTCCCCAACTGTTCCATAAAACTATCCACCTCGCGAATAATCCTGTTGACCTCCCAACGCCCTCCTTGAAAACGCTCCTGGTTCCTTGCCAGCCAGAGAAACCAGCACACCACAATTGGAATGAGTACCTTAATATGGGTTTTCAACAAAGCCTCATACGTCAGAAACCATGCGATAAATACCGCGGCCATGCTTGTGCAGTTGCTCAACTGAAACCCAAACCGGCTAGACATTCTCTTCCATACCTCCGATGCAATCGGCCCTGAAACAAACACATGCAAGAGAGCCTCCTCCTCCGCAAAGCAACACCCACACCTGGAAGGAACCACCAGTCCCCGTGACCTCAACACCACATCCAAAGGGATAAAACTCCGCACGAAACGCCACGTTAAGAACGACATCTTGGCCGGCAAAGCTGGCTGCCAAAGGAGTGAGTCGACCAAGGAAGGACACCTCCGTTGCCGTAGCACCTCCCAAGCCGATTTCACCGTAAACAACCCCAATCCGGAAGCCATTGGCCAAGACGAACCTCATCCCAGCCCTCATTCGTCAAAAACTCCGAAACCAAAAAATGCGGCTGCTCTGCTCCATCCATCACATCTTCCAAAGGCTCATTCAAAGCCCATCTATCCTTCCAAAAATCCACCAGACCTTCCCCTACACACCACCTAATGTTGGGCTCCACCAAACTCCTAATCGCCTCAAGACGTCTCCAAGTATGGGAAGGCCGGACAGACGAGGCCGCCAAAGGATGATATCCATTACTGTATTTTGCATGCATGAATTCCGCCCAAATGGAGTCTCCACTTCGAAAATGCCACCATAGCTTAGCTGCAAAAGCCCGAGCCATGTCCTTAAACGACCTAAAACCCAGACCCCCTTCATCAGTAGGGAAACACAGCTTGTCCCATGCGGCCCAATGGAGACGCTTCTCCCCTCTACAATCCCACAAAAAGGAGTTACAAATGATGCCCAAACGTGTGATCACCGCCTTAGGAGGGCTCAACACCTGGAGCAAGTACATCGGCAGCGAAGATAGAACATGCCGAGCTAAAACCCGCTTACCCCCAAAAGATAGCATCTTAGTACTCCAGTGCCCAAGATGGTCCCTCATTTTAGCCACAAGACCATCAAACAGCGAACTTAGCCGGCGCCCTTTATAAATAGGGGCACCCAAATACGTAAAAGGGAAACAAGCCCTATGAAATCCCAGGACCCTCGTTACCATCTGCTCCTGCCCCAAAGTGGCTCCCACCGCCAAGAAAAAGGCACTCTTATTGACATTCACCCGTTGGCCTGATACCTGTTGGTACCCCTCTAGAAAAACCTTGACTGCACTCAGACATTCTTCGGAACATCGGGTAAAAACAAGCATGTCATCCGCGAAAGCCAGATAAGGAACCTGAGTCCCGGCCGAGACAAAGAACCTTCCCGGCCGACATTCCAACAAATGGTGCAGGCCACGACCCAAAAATTCGGTCACTAACACGAACAGCCCAGGCGACACCGGGTCCCCCTGCCGAACACCCCGGGATGACTTGAAAAAACCAGCAGGCTCACCATTAACCAAGACCGAAAACCAATTATTGGACACCAACCTATAGAAAATATCTACCACCCGTTCCTGAAAACCAAATTGCCTCAGCATAAACAACAGAAATGGCCACTCGACCCTGTCATAAGCCTTCTCCATATCCAATTTTAGCATGATGTTCGGATGACGCAATCGCCTATCTAAATCCATCACCAACTCCTGGGTGAGAAGAATGTTATCCGTTATCCCCCGTCCCGAAACAAAGCCCGTTTGCCACGGTGAAACTAATGTCGGAAGAACCCTCCCCAACCGGCGAGCAACCAATTTTGAAATAATTTTGGAGCAAGTGTTGCAAAGACTAATTGGCCGAAAATCCTTCCAGCACATGGCACCCGCGATCTTAGGCAAGAGAACAATAGATGTGCTAGTAAAACTCCTCGGTAACCCCATACCTTGGAAAAATGCCTTCACCGCCTCTACCAAATCCATCTTAATAAACTCCCAGCAATCCTGGTAAAAACCTGCTCCAAATCCATCAGGCCCCGGTGCACTATCAGCCTCCAAACCAAAAACCACCTCTCGCAATTCTGCCAGCTCAGGGAGCGCAGAAAGCATCCCATTATCCTCTTCCGAAAGCTGTGGTAGCGTGAAGGGAATCGCTGGAGGTTGCCACCCATTCTGCTCAGAAGTAAACAAGGAGGACACGAACTCCACTGCTGACCTCCGAATGTCTTGTTCATCCTCCAACCATGCTCCTGTCGCATCCTTAATGCGAGCCACAAAATTACAATTCCGTCGCTGCCTATAACGCGAGTGGAAATATGCCGTATGTAACAGCCCCACTTTCCCCTAAGGCGAACCAAAGGGGTTAGCGGACTGCCTGCCCAGCTCTCGCCAGGACTACGGATCAGATTAGAGCTATCTATTGCGATCCGGAACTTACAAACGCGCGTAAACAAATCAAAATAGTAAAATAACCCAGAATAAAATAAAATGAAATCCGGAGTCGGCCATGAATAGTAACCGACCCATCAGAACCCAACCGAAATAGCTAACAAACATTCACATCTGAACTTTAGCGTTTACCAATCAAAATGACATACAAAAGTTTCAAAAGTTAATATATACACACGGTTTGCCAAATCAAAAACAAACGTCCCAAAAGTACACTTAGGGTTTTAATACATGAGCTATGCAAAAGATATGTTCAACTAGCTCAATTTGGCAGCCATTTGTCAAATCCAGTCCAAAAATATTTATTTTTCCTGTAAGGAAAACAAAAGGAATAGAACGGGGTGAGCTTGCGCTCAATGAGGTACCAAACAGATAGCATTAAAATCATGGCATTTCACATTTAACAAATCAGATACACATGTCAGATGTAAAGCAAAGGAACCAATGATTCAAATCAGAAGGATACGGGTGGCTCTCAGGAGCCAAATTTCCAGCGCAATACTTGATCCAAACCGGTTGACTCTCCGTCAACGTATATAGAACCAATGCGTCCGTAGACCCCTCTTATCACCGAATTCCGTCCACCAAACACCCCTTTACCGGGCCCGCTCACCTCAAACGAACAAAAATGGTAATACTCGAGTATACCCGGAATCAAGGGTCTCAATACCCAAAATCCCCGAACAGACTACCGTGGTTCGTTATCTAATCGTCCAGGCCCTTGCCGGCCCGACTCGAATAACTTAGCCACAGGATTGAGCTCATAGGTCATAGAAATCCGAACAGAAATCCGAACAGATGCAGACACAGATAACAGATTCAAATTTTGCATAGTAAATTGGCATATGAGCAGACTAGAGAACGAGTGTGATAAAGTACACCCTCGTCTCGAACAAATAAACAGATTGCAGAGCAGAAATCAAGTTAAATAGCAATGGGGGGGAGTGGTACACTCACCGGCTCAACTTCAAAAGTTTTCACTTCAGATTGGCCTTAATCGCCAAGAAACCCTAAAATAATCAAAATAAATCAATTGAAGGTTTTACTTCCAGAATCGAGTAAACACAATGCACATGAGGCTCGACTACTAGTCGTATGCCTCGCCAAAATAATTACTAATGCAAGGGTGGAAAACATGATTTTCTTGGAAACAAAAAGCTAACATGAAGACTTAGGCGCAAACAACCCAAAAGCCTTTCATTCTACCAAAAGGCAAATCCAACTTAAAGGAACCAACGGCCTAGAAAATCGGGCAGCACTTCCCCTAAAATTCTTACTTTTCCAGCCATTAAGGCTTCATTATTTTTCTTCAATCACAACCCAACAACACACAGATAAGCATTTCATGTCAAGAGCCGTTCCATAGGCTCACAATATCATAAAACAAGAAACCATACCGAGCCATAAACAACACCAATTCACAACCCCAATAGGGTTTTATAAACATATACAAGCATGAAAGCAAACCAGAAATTAAGAAAGGGCTTTAACCTAAGCCTTGATAAGAAAACCGGATTTGACCTCATAATGCGGTAATGGCACAACTCTCACTACAAATGTCGGATGGGGGTGTAAGACCCACCATTTCGAAGCCAAGAAACAGAGCTACAACAATGTAGAAGGCCTCTCAGTCCAAATCCTAGAACAACTAGGTCAAAAGTGCCAAATACCAAACCAGAATTACCAAAACAGGTTTGCAAAACACACAAAACTGTAATACGTCAATCTCAGCCTACACAGGTCCAAATGCCGAAATCCCAAAGGCATAAGTTAGCTAAAACATCCAGCTACATTTACTCAAAAGACACCAACTTCAAAATCCAAACCAATTCCAGTCAAAACAGGCAATTACTATCGCAGTTCGGACATTCTGTGCACCAAAAACAGCAACAGTAAAAACGGCATAACTCTCTCTATACTACTCCAAATGCCCTGAAATTTTGTAGGCACACTAAACTCATCAATACCTACAACTTTCATGTTTTGAGTAAAGTCCAATTCGGCCTCTAACTATGACCTAAAATTTCGGACAGAATAGGGGTTCAAGAACCCTAACTTTTCACATTTCATTCCAAATCCAAAATTGGTTGCATTTAACCACAATTCACACCTACTAGAGCCAAAGCCCCTTATTACCAACCATCATACTAGTCCAAAACATCAAAATCATATGAAACCAGAAAATTCATCATAAAATGGAAAACTTCACCAAAACTCTTCAAATCAAGAAATAAATCACATTTTCCAACACTCAAGCCACTTCTAAGCATAATATAACCATCATTAGATGTAGTAGGGTGTTCAAGCATCACTTACCAAGCAATCAAGAGAGATAGGGAGTGTGGACACCTTAGCTCTTCAAATCAACTTCACTAATACACTCAAGAGCACCAAAGGAAGGAATTTCATGGAGTAGATTCTAGTTTAAGGACTTGAGTTGGGTGATTTGAGCTTGTTGGAAGCTTAAACTTGGAAGAGTTTTTCTTTCTTCTTTGATGAGAGGTTCGGCCAACACAAGGGAAGAAAATGGTGAATTTTGTGAATTTTTGGAGATATTTAACCAATTTTTGGTCAAAGGTCAAAATAGTGAATAGTAACTCTTAAAGTCAAACCAATGGAAAATTGACACTTGGCACTCTAATAAATGCATTCCTATCCTTTCTTTTCTCTCTTACATCAATCAAATCTCACTCTCTACTTATCTCGTAACATCCGATAATTTTTCCACAGTATCCGAAACTTAACCGTATTGGCCGAATTTTCCCGAACTTTTCGCACTCGTGGGTCCCACGTCCAATATATATTCTTAATTTTCTAAAAACTATCCAATACGAGAAAACTCATCTTAAAACTATAATTACTCATAAAATTCACCAGGAAAATATTCCTAAGCCAGAAAATGCAGAAAACATG